GTGCGTGATAATATGACATCTTTACAAAACTCATGGTAGCATTTAGAGCTTTATAAGTAAAGAATATTAAACATAATTGTGCAAGTAAATTCACTGCTACAGCCCAAACAGCTAGGCGGATTGTGACATAATGAGGTGACGTTAGCAAATAGAACATAGCGTATGGCAATCCCTGCTTGGATCAAATGTTTAACTAGCAAATGTATTAACACGATGCGTAAAGCGGTATGAGTATCAATTTAATGCATTTCTACTGGATACTCTCTCTTTACATTTTAGGTCAATGGAAATGAATCCCAGTTTACAGTTTTACAGCATAGCGACTTGTCAATTATACGATCTCATATCAATAAAGTTTATACTTTGGTAGGCCTTATATTTCATTGATCTAGCTGATTCTTTCGCAACCCTTATTATTTACTGCTAGCTTTCCATCTTTTGTGTTTATAAAACCTTACCGTTGTACACGTTGTTGATTTGACATGACACAATCACAATCCAAGAGCAAAGCACGCACAGGGCCCCCAACATCATCAACATCAGCACTTCGCTACATAAGTATGTGCACAGACCTACACTGCAAAATACATTTAAAAAATAATTTCAGACCCAATTTTCCCACTACACTGAAACTGATCAATTAACCTCGCTACCGATATGATTGTTCATTGTATACTTATTTACCCGACTGCTTCAGAGGAAGGGTTATGTTATTCGAGAGTATGTATGTTTGTATTAATGTTTGTGGGTATTTATGTATGTGGATAAGGTTGTCACGAGCTGCAGCCCAAGCGGCTGGGCGGATATTAGGTGCCTTTAGATAGGTTCCTTCGTCTCAGTGACCCAGCGCAAGTGACACTGCCTATATTCAAATTTTATATATTCCAAATGACGGGTTTGTATGGCAAAACATAACCTTTGAAATTACCGCAGTTGGGTTTTTGATTTTTAAAACATCTGCTTGTTACTTATCGAGATTCATTTATGGTTTACTGTATAGCTGATTATGTTGAAGTGACCGTGAAAATTATTCGCGACCCGTGCAGATGCATTAGATTATATTTTTGTTCACGTGAGACGTTTTTCTTTCTCATAAATTGAAAACATAAAAACAAACAAATCATTAATTCATCAAATTAGAATCTACCTACTGCTAGATGTCGCTTAATCGTCGCTTGGACACGAGAAAAAAGAGGTTGAGAAATCACCTCAAAGACAATTTCACGTCAGGGTCCGCCAGGCGCAAGTAGCTTAGCTGGCAGAGCGGTGGGACAGTACCCCACGGTCCCGGGTTCAAGTCCCGGCGGTAGCTAAAGAATTTTTTAATTTTCTCGTTTTAATTTATGAAAAAAATATAGCACTGTGAGTGCATTATAAATTCCAAAAGGTACATTGGTTTTTCTTTCTGTTAAAACAATTTTCTTCTTTTCGGATAATGGTACATTTTCATTGTCACCTTTAAAATTAAGAAATGGCTTTGGATTCACATGACACTAGTAATAATAAAAAAGGTGAATAATCCGATGGGAATCAGAAGGTAGTGGTATCATATAGCATGTATGTTTGGAACCTGAAGCGGTTAAATTCCAGAAAATATTATACCTACTTGCTGTCCAACAGAAATCACTACTCGTAAGTGAGCGTACAAATAAAAATATATAAGATCAGCTTATACTGGTAAGCTATTGAGAGATGTACTGCAAATAGTGGTACCTAGTAATTTATAATAATTTATCCTATTGTTCAGTCAGTGCCATGCCAGGTTGTCAGAACGAAGTCGCACGTTACAAGTCGTTACACGGACTAATCAAAGCACTAAAAACTAAGCAAGATAAACCTTCGAATTTATGTGTTTGTTTGTTCCAAAAGAATCCTCAAAATATCAACGCAAACACGAAAGAACAAATGGAAATTGATACGAAAACAGACCGAGACGTTCCACCGCAATAGTCAAATCAGTGAAAATACGAGGGGAATAAACGCGAATAAAGAAAATTCCTCGCGATTCCTAAACTGAAGAATCAATTTCCGTTTCCCCAGCGAAAACTACATGAAGTGGTAGTAAACCGGTGGCAGGAGGGGGGGAGGGCCAGCGCGGGGTGCGGGGCGCGGGGGGAGGGGGCCGGGAGGGACCCTTCTGTACAGATAAGCGGAGTTTCCGCCGGACCGTAAAGTGTACCGCACTTCACAGGACAAAACGCCGAAAAACTATAATATGTTAATTTGGATTCGTGTCCATTGTCGTGCGCCTTTATTTGACATGAAATTTTAATATTTTCGTCGGATGTCACATACGATTAACCTTTTTCCACAACGATTAATTTTATTTACATACCTAAAGTAAGCAATTATATTTTTTAAGATGAAGATTTCATAAATGAGTGTTGTTGATAGTACCTACTTAGTGAAATACACCTGTTGAAAATCAACAAAAAAAATGGGAGTAAGTATGTAAAGGATTAATCCTTAATAATCCTTCAGATATGCAACATGAATCGACTCATGCGATGATAATGATTTATTAATGCTACCTCCCTTTTCAGACATAAGCATACTTATTTGGAGATGATTAAAAACAAATTGAGATTTTATAGGTCATGCTGCGCATAATGTCGTTTTGACGGATCAATGTCGCATAATATTGCGACTGTGACTGGTTGTCACGAACCGTAATATTGTCCGATTTGCCTAAGGCAAAAGCTCCACGGAGTAGACGTGAGAAGTGATACATATTTTGGTATCTGTCAAACATGTGATCGTCGGGGACATGAGACATGCGACACCGCGACGCTTTAAAACCGTTTTCATATAAAATGTACCTACAAATGACCTCTCCGGCCGGTTTCGGCCATGGCGATCAAGTCGGCGCTGATGCGCTCGCAGGTGGCTATTGCAGTCGATTTTGGCAGTAAACTCTCGTGAGTTTGCCATTGATATAATTGTAGTTAATGGCGGCGGGAGGACGGGCCTTCAATTCATCACGTTTAGCGTCGAGGTCTGCTTTACGCAGCGCTGCTCCTCAAAGTCGCGGATTCGCCTCTTTACAAGACTGCGCCATTCTGGCCGTTGTGCTGCCAAAACCTCAAATTGAGAAGGCTCGATGTTGCATCTTTTCATGTGTCTCTTCTGAACATTTTTAAATCGGAGGAGCTAACCACAGAAGAAATAAAGCTACACATTTGAGACACGCGTCGTAGACATCGATAATAACAGCTGACGATTGCTTGTCTGACAGATGATGTCATTTTACGATTGTGATTGTTGATTGTATTCGCTATAGGTTACTAGTAAAATTTCACGGTATATTCTGTCTTTCTTCCGGTTTTTATCTCGCGCCGACATCGTCACGGATAATGGACACGCGCTGGTTGCTTCAATGGCGCGCACCAGCTTATTGCTGAAGTTATGCAACGTTCAGCTCACAATCAGACAGATCTACTGATACTTTCCGGTTTTTATCTCGCGCCGACATCGTCCCGGATAATGGACACGCGCCGGTTGCTTCAATAGCGCGCAACAGCTTATTGCTAAAGTGTTGGAAATTGCCTATGGACGCAAAAACTCTTTATGAGCTTACTCTATGATCTTCAGTGTCAAGTCACCGGTTGTTACGTGCTGTTGATATTTTTTCCAATCTGATATTATTAAACCAATCTAGTAGCCAAAGTCGCGTATTATTTCCTACATAAAGTTATGCAACGTTCAGCTCACAATCAGACAGATCTGCTGATACTTTCCGGTTTTTATCTCGCGCCGACATCGTCACGGATAATGGACACGCGCCGGTTGCTTCAATGGCGCGCACCAGCTTATTGCTGAAGTTATGCAACGTTCAGCTCACAATCAGACAGATCTGCTGATACTTTATCTATACCGGGTTATTTTCCAGTCAGAACAACGCGAACTTTGTAGGGTAATTTAAACAATAAATACTACTAACCAATTGTTTGCTCTTGTGAAATCGCGGAAAAGAAATTAGCTGCTCCATATACTTATAGCGTGAAATTTTACTAATGACCGATAGCGAAAACTCAGAACCGGCTAGTGATATGGGAACAACTTTCCCCAAAGAACATAGGTCGAAATACGAAAAATAATTTTGGATCTCCCATACAAAATTGCCGATCAGCTGATTTAAGTTACTCATCTCATCATCTTCCTGCCCTTATCCCAATTACTTGTGGTCGGCGCATCAAGTTTTGTTGAACACAAAATCGTGGTGCAAAAGGATTTGGCTTAATTTTACGACCGGCCGCCTACCAGACGTCAACCCTCCTTGGGAATGCTTTTGTGGTGGATTAACCGCCACCATACGGTTGGCCCTGGCTGTTTGGGTCGGGTTTATCCCTCGGTCGCCTCTTACGACTCTCACGGGAAGAGAGGGGGTGGTGCTATTCTACTCTGCCGGCACCACACTATGGGAGGTAAAAATATTTTTGTCGTATTTCGACCTATGTTCCTTGGGGAAAGTTGTTCCTTATCACAGCCGGTTCTGAGTTTTCGCTATCGGTCACTAGTAAAATTTCACCCCATATTTTCATCGAATAGGTTAGGTAGGTACATAATGGTATTAATTAATTAAAATACAGGGTATATCTAAGAGGCAGCCCTCCAATGCTGATTTAGTAAGATGCATAAAACAAAGTAACTGAACAACTTCCCCTAAGAATATCTTTCAGGAAAGGTAATTTATTGTCTGGTTATATGAGGTCGATTTCTTTTGGGGAAAGTTGTTCAGTTTTATGGTCTGCACGCTCCTTATGAGTATTCGAAGGGTTGTCTCTTGCATCTTATAGGTTAATCAAATGACCATTTAATTATAGTAGAATCGCCATGGACAGCTTTCGTAGGTATACGTTCCCATTATTTTTCGTACGATAACCAATAGTATTGGGATTTTTAATGCTCTTACAGTGCAATATTATTCTCATAAATTGAAAATGAGAAAATTGGAAAATTCATTAGCGACCAAGGTTGAGAAATTCATCAGGTTCCACTGGGCTCCCGTTGCTCAGTTGGTAGAGTAGTGGGACGGTACCCTACGGTTCCGGGTTCAAGTCCCGGCGGTTGCTTATGAATTTTTCGATTTTCTCATTATCAATTTATGATAGATTTCCTTTTCATAATTTAGCACGGTACTTTAGCTAACTATCGACCATGAACCAACTCACTCACACACAGCTAAATCAAATTGAAAATAATGCTAAATATTACAATTTTACTTTCACGGGAAAGAATTTGATCCGCTGAGTTTATTGAAATCCGCGAGCGCCGAGCGTGTACTAATATTAGGTTTCAACATATTTTCATGTTTCAAATAAACTCTGCGAACATTTGCAAACAGTTTACTAACTAGTAGGTACACTACACCGCAGTGTTAAATATACAGCGCAAAAACATATGCATTTAAATTTTGCGAAAAGTGTAAAAGTAGACAAACCAGACACTGCGATTTAAATACGGCAAAAGTAATATCTATCTACCTACCAAGTTTGTACGAGTAGTTATCTACCGGAACAATTTCTGATACACTCGCTTTAGGTAGGTAACGGGCAGTTCTAAGAATATCTACTGATTTAACAGTAGCTCCGCAAAAACTGCATTATCTCCACTTAGGGTGAGAATCCACCAGAGCTGTGCGAGGTAGCTAAGCGGTGTGCGAGGAAAAAATCCACCAATAGAATCACTTCATTTTCCTAGCCTCGCTTAGCTCAGCTCTGGTGGGATAGGGTTGAGCGAAGCGAGGCCATTCTACATACAAAACAAGCGAGAAATGTGTGCGAAGGATGTGTTGCGACGAATGTGTAGCGAGGAATGTGTTGCGAGAAATGTGGTGCTAGGAATATGTTGCGAGGTTTCCACTACATCGCATTCCCCCCCGCTCACACATTTCACAGCTTCGCAACGCATCCTCGCTCCGCATATTAATGCGCATTATGACAGCTCCGCTGCGCATCCTCGTACGACACATTTTACTAGCACAGCTCTGGTGGAAACCCCTACACATTTCCACAGCACAGCTACACATCCTTAGGCTCGAAGAATAAAATACGACTAGGTATAACTGCCAAATAAAAGTTTTGTAGCACATTGGTAAAATATTTACTTAGATAAAATTGTTTGCCGACAAAAATTGCTTACTTTATTTAAATAACTAGTTAAATATACACTTTACTAAAGCGGTAATTAAAAACCACAGCAAAGAATATTTGAAGCAAACAAAAGACCAAATCCGAAATGAATCTGGTTGAGATAAGGCGACATTTTTCAATTTCGTTGGGTAAATCCTTCGTTTATTTAGAAAAAAAGCCTGTTTAATGTCGTGACAGTGCGGGGCTGCTCCTTCCAGGCCCTACCACAATGTCTCTCTCTTTCGTGTGGGACACCTAGTCGTTGAACGACCCGACGAACCCTGGTGTCAGAGTTTTTTCAACCGCCTACTGCAAGTAGCAGGCCTCTGACATGGTTGTGTAACGACCGCCATCATAGACAGCAACCGGGACCGACGGCTTAACGTGTATATCCGAAGCACGGAACCATCTTAATTTTCGGACAATCAGGTGGTTCAGCCTGCAATATCCAAACCAGACTGGGAACAAAATTCACAAAGTGATAAATAAGATTTTCCCACATTCCCACTCCCGAATCCCCCTGTTTTGATTTTCGATTAATGCACGTAGAACTATATACATATTAAAGCCTAAATATATACTAGGTACATACAATAGACTTTATCACTTCTATTTTATTTTTTGAAAAATAATTACGGAACAAAATACTATTTATTTTCTAATTGTAATTATTTGATGAAAAATAAAATTAACAGAGGCATAAGCAGGCCTTAATTAAATAAAAAAGAATTATACCTCATAAGAATTATAACTCTGCATGTATTAGGTATAGATACTAAAAGAAAAGAGGGGAAAGTTTGTAAGGAAAATTGGGTCAAGAGATTTCTTTTAAAGTGCACATACAATCGAAGAGCTGCGACATCATTAGAGAAAAGTTGAAAAATGTAGACAAATATTGGCTTTCGACTTATCGCTATTTTACTGTAGGCGTCTGAAGTTGGGTAATAGGTGAAGTAATTTCTAAGTAACAAACAATACTAGTACGGGAGGGGACAAAACGCCAACAACAATTACAACTTAATGTTGCGGTATTAATCCGCAACGCAAGTTAAAGCACATAATACATTCTGTCACCGAACTGGCTTTCGTTTTTCAATTATCTAACAAATATCGCAATATCATGCAGAAAATATGAATACCATCGAAGAGGTTTATTGGATTCATAGCAGAGCAGCAGACCGCACAATAACTTGATCTCTACATCATCTGGTATACCATAAATAGGTACTATTGTCTCGTTATACAGCATGAGATATCTTAGTAATATAGGTATTTAAATGAACAAGAATTGAATGTCCGAAACGGCTCCAAAGGTTTTCACAAATTTTCTTACGGGGTTTAGCTATTCTTTGAGAATTGTTTTAAAAGTAACAACGACATCTATTGATTAAACGAGGAAAGTCGTTCAACCAGGTAATAGCGCGAAATATTTTAGATGTATTAACAAATATTGCGAAATTCCGCAACTGATTCGGATGAGTCAAGTTCATTATAATTTTATCATGACGTCTTTTATCAAGTCATTATCAGAAACATTAAGTAACGGTGTCACTCTTACTCTCTCTCTCTCTTCCTGTGGGACACCGAGTCGTTCAACGACCCGTCATTCTTACTGAAATTCGAGGACCAATGGTAGTGCACAGGATCTGTACCGGAGATCTCATCTTTTAGTTCTGGACCTATTGTTCTCTCAAACAAAGACAGCTCATTAAAGTTAATTCGTTAAAATAGCAACAGACCCCGAGCGTAGTGTTAGTCAAACACCAGTTTTGTCGCAAGTATTTTTAATTAAGAAAGATAGACTGTGATTTGCTAAGGGCCGGTATTCACCTGCGAAATTTTAGGTCATTGAATTTTACATTATGGGGAATGGAATGATAGCATTGGTAACATTTTGACAAACCAACATTTGTAAAATAAAGAAAGAATTAGGTTGGTAATCAGAAAACATAATGTAAATAAATACTTTCACACAAAATATATTTTTGTCCAGATTATTTTAGGCGTTAACTTACAATTTTTAAGAGTAAGTACCTACTGAGATTTAACCTGTAAGTTATACAAGTTTTGCAAACTTGATTTCATTATACCTGTAAGGTTGGCCTACCTAATGTGGGTACAGCTGTTGAAATAGGCCATATTTGACAGCTGTCAAACCCATACTAGAAGACATATCAACAGACCTTAAAATAGACCTTATGTCATAGCATTAGCATGATTTTGACAGCTGTCAAATATGGCCTAATCGAACAGCCACACTGTTGTAGCTAAGTATTTGAATAGGTATGTAAGTATGTATTTAATTAGTGCAGCCTGTTTAAATAGTTGGATAAATTAAAAATAAATCAAATTGTTTACGTTGACATTGAAAAGATTATTTTAATCTGAAAGGCGACAATAATCTAAATATTTTCACGCATGACGATAGTTTTGTACGATAAACGGAATATGTACATTCCGGAACATGAGAAATAAGAACTGAATGTAGATAGAAATGTTGTAATGACCTAGAGGTCTCAATTCTTGCCAACAAGGATCGTAATAGTTTCTTGAGGTATTCCGCTTTATGAAAATTATGCAAAGACTTATTAAAAATTTTAAAGTCGAATTCAATAAAAAGAGCCTATTCTTCCTAAAATATGCTAAATTACAAGTGTTGTATCCTTTTACTTTCCTCTAATTAACTATTGTTCAATATAGCTCTAACAAAAGCTGTTCAACCATGGTTCAACGTATAAAATATATTCGCAGCAAAAAGAGTTGTTATCCCATCTGTCCTAATGATTAGTTAGAAGGTTCATTCTCCTAAAGCCACGGAAAATTCTAACTTCCATGTCATTTTTTAATTTTAGATTTACTGGAAAATATTATACAGTTTATCAAAGTTTTCTTCATTTCTAAGATTAGAGTGCTAAAGGCCCGGTTTTTGGACCACTGGTTTAAAAGTTATTTGATGTCCACTTTTTGCGAACATGGACGTTAGAGAATTCCATGGCTTATTTTCTTTTTTTAAATAATGAACAAATTAAAGTGCTTTTTTAATACATAACAAGTAAGTTTTGTTGTTTAGAGCTTATACAAGGTATTTTAGTGAAAATATATAATATATTACTATCACAACCGGGAAAAAATTGAAGGCCACTATTTTTTGACATGGACGTTAGATGTCCACTACTTGGTACATCGGAAATTTCTTTATATAACATTTATTTCATCTGTCACGTACATGAAACAACACTAAACAACTTTTCCTGACCCTCGATGCTGAACATGTTTCAAAGTGTTGTTATGAGGGACTTCAACGCAATGCTGGGCGAGAAAAGCGGTGAAGAGTTGTAGGTGGGGCCATTTAGATATGGGGATACGAATCCGAGGGGCCAGATGCTGGCCGAGTTCCTGAAGAAGATGGATATCTACATGATGAACTTGTTCTTCAGAAAGCCGCCTCATAGAAAATGAACCTGGATGAGGCCCGATGGTTCAACCAGAAATGAGATAGACTTCAGTATGGCCACAGAGAGACAAATTTTCAATGATATCTCCGTGGTCCACAGGATAAAACCGTAAGCGATCACATGGAACATAAATGTCAAACTAAAACGGTCTCGCCTAGTGAAGTCGACGCACCGACTATCTGCGACCCATATTCAGAACCTGGAAAGCTTCCATCTGAAAATCAAGAATCGCTTTGCTTGACGGTATCAATAACAGTTTAGTCGAAACTGTTCACACGGTCGGCTCCAAGTTATTTAAGCTCTGTCGTAGAAATAGACCTAAAAAACTAACCGATCAAACTCTGAACCTCATGGCTGGAAGGCGTCCTATGCCGCTGCAATCCTCTGATGACACGGCCTCATATCGGCGGCTCAACAGACGAATATGCTAGTCCCTGTGGTGCGATATTCGAAACTTCAATACTGAAATATTAAAGAAACGATTGA